GATTTCCCAAGTGGCGCTAAAACACCACGCCGCACTTGCAAAGCGATGGGCGGAGCGTCGGTGGGGGGAGGCGGGAATCAAAGTACGCAAACACCGAGTGTCACTTTTTTTATTCCGACAATAATTGAATATTTAGAGAGGAGACAGAAAGAAAAAATGAAACAGGAAATTAGCTTGGAAATTGGCTGAAAATTGGCTGAAAATAGAGAAAAATTAGCGATGGCCGAGAAAGTGGGAGTTTTCTCGGCCACACCCCGGTGTAGTCCTCGTGGACAAGCAATTTGGTGTGTCGAAATCCGGCCGCTTGTTTTACTGACAAACGAACTCTTTTGATCGGGGGAGCCATTTTCAACAAAATAACTTAAAGTAGAAGCATTAAGCACAAGTTGAGCGACAGAAAAAGTAAAATATAAAGATAACATTTTGGAAAAAAACGGACAAAAAAGAAATCGAATTCAAAATCTGAAAAACAAAATTTAGGATTAAAAAAGTTTAAATGTTGCTTAAAAAGGTTTAAAAAGCTTAAATGTGGCTTTAAAAAGTTTTATCTTCGAGCGCGGCTGAATAAAGTTTAAAAGTTGCTTTAAAAGGTTTTAAAAGTTTTTTTGTGGCTTGCAAAAGTTTATTCGCTGACTTTTTGCTTAAAAAGGTTTCAGAATGTCTCAAGTGTAGCTCAGAAAGGTTTTCCGATTTACCTGAGTGGTTCCGCCAAGAATCGTTGCGCGTTTCTCCGAAATATACTCGCGCATTCCGCCGAAACAAATTGCTGAGCAGTAGAACATCTGTCTCTCAACCGATTCCGGAATATTTTTACAAATTTATGAAAGCTATGTTTTTCCAGTTTAGAATATTCTAAAACTATCCCAATAATTTTTTTAATGTTCAAATTAGCCTTTAAAAGTATTAAAAAATCCCTATGAAATGCCTATTCAGGAAAAACAATTTCCCCTTCTTTTTTCTGAACACTTGGTGATGTTTTTCCAGTTTCGGAAACTCTAAAAACTACTCCAAGAATCATTTGAATTTACAATCAGAAATTCCGAAAAAAAAGAAAGAGAAAAAGTATGGGGCATATACGGGGCATATGGGGCACACCGCCGCCGCAAAGCATCTCCTCGCCTGGCTTGCTGGCACTCTATGAAATGAACTAAAACGTTGGTTGGGGGTTCCTAGAAGTATCAGTTAAGTTCTATTGTGATGTGATTTTGTTCAGGTCTTCCGATTTCGTAATTTTCCTTTATTATTCCATATTTTTTAATATTTTGAACGACATATTACTGATTCTTCGAAACTCAATGTTTTGGTGTTGAAAAAGACTTATGGCAGTTTCCATTTAAATTTGATATGCAATCAAAAACAGAAGAAAATGGGAAAAAATTCGCTAAAAATTGTTTTTTTTTCATTTGTTCAAAAATTTCTCATTTTCACTTTTTTTGAAATTGCATAAAAAAATTGAAAATTTTTATAATTTACACTTTGTAATTATTGTATACTTACCAACTTACCTTTTACTCCACCTGAAAATACGATTTTTACAATAATTACAAAGTGAAATCAAAAAATCTCAATATCATCTATTTTGGAGAAAAACATAGCAATTAACGAGTGAAAGACATGTTTCTGCAAGAATTCAGCGATTTTTTAGCCTGCTATAACTCTTTTTCACAAAAAACATCGAAGGAATAATCGAAAAACCAGAAATGTAGGCTCGAATTGACGAAAAATTGACAAAGTTGCCGGTGTGGATTTACGGTAAACAATGGGCGCATCCGGGATTTCGGAGTGTTGTAGTCGGCCTACCGTATCAGACCCATATCGCACACATCGCCCACCCACTCAGAATCCATCTAGGATACGCGCGCATTCGGAACACTCGATTCAGCCTCTCCCGCATCGCACACATATAAGACTCATCGCAGCTCGTTGTTCGCGATATGTGTCAAACGGACTTCTAGAGGATCGCATATGGATCGAGTCCTTTATGCGCATCATCGCCCAGGACCTGTGTAGCCTGGTTAACAGGGATAATTTGAAACAACCGTCGTTGGTTCGAGTTCTCCCCAGAGCCTAGTGGTTTTTGTCAGAGTACAGTAACCGGGGTTAACCGTGAAAAAAATACGCGAAATGCCCCCTCGTGTGGGGATACGATCGCGTCGCGAAAAACGTCCACAAATCAGAAAAAAATCAAGTTTCGTAAATTATTCACCGTGTTGCGTGGCATCGCCAAACGGAAAAAAACCAGATGAAAAAACCTGACAGACGAACCTCACAGACGAAATAGACAAAAACGGGAAAAAACGCACAAAAAAAGAACAGAAAAGCTGACAAAAAACGGACGGAAAGCTGATGAAAAAACCCAATGAACTGTTTTAAAAAGTGATGAATAAAGAATGACAACATTTTATTAGAGAAAACATGCTTGAAACAAATAACAATGAAAGTAACTCTAAAGAGGATCATGAAGCGGATATCTGGAGTCATTGACCGTGTAATCATCCAGAATTGGATTGGTGAATGCGAAATAGGACGAAAATCCATAACAGTTGCACTCATTGACGAAGTAAAGGACATAGTTGTAATAGCTGAAAAATAATGTTTTTTTTGTCTCAACGTTTCATAATGTGGATTATACAGTGTCTCTAGTTTTGATCTATCTATTTTCGTGTAATCGGAAACTGGCTCGTGTTGTGTTGGAAGCAGATTACAGCGTTTCCGTATGTCACACCATTTGTAGTTTCTGAAAATGAAATTGTAGCGCTTTGATCTTCATATCAATATATTACTTGTGACCAGTATCTTTCATTGTGTCGAAAACGCTCTTCACAGAACTGTTGAAATCACGGAGATTGTCCAATTCTTCTTGTGTAGATGGCTGAAATGATTGAAATTTAATTTCAACTTTGTGAGTCGAAGACTAACCAATCCATCGCACCAATCCTGCGCCATCCAAAACACATCATACGTTTTCGTAGTATGAACAATGAGTATTTTCCAAAATCTTGAAATCGGGTATCTTAAATGTCTGGAAAAAATTGCATATTACCTTAAGAAATCCTCGATTTTAAAACTTGGCGAGCCGCCGAATGCAAAAATAATGGTGTGAAATTGAATACTTGGCTGTAGAATCAGTTCAATTGAATAATCTGCCATGGTAGAACTATAAAGAATATCCATTATTGTGATATATTAGGGTGTTCCATAAATAATGTCGTTTTTTGGTACCACTCTTTAAACGACTATAACTTCAGTGAAACTCATGTTCATCAAGCAAACTATGTATCATTCGAATCAGTACTTTTTTGCCTACAACATTCTAATTTAAAAAGCTTTTTTTTTGAAACCAGAAGCCCAGGAAGCGACGAAACATTGGAAAGTCTTTTTTTCCGTAGTCGTTTTTAATGAACTGGTCCTCTTAGGGAAGGCATTCAAAATGCTTGAAAAAATGGTAAGCAATAAAGGAGATGTCGGCAAGTATGATGATTGACCGATAATTCTGTAACCGAACACATTCCATTTTTTGAGCCTCCATGATTGCAACATGTGAAATGGAATTGTCGTCGAGTTGGATTGTGCCAATTTTTCGACTAGTGTTGGCATTTTGGATAACAAATTTTCTCTATTTCTTGACAATTGTAAACCGCAGTGTTAGTTTTATATCTTTTCAGGGCGTCATAATGAATAAAACCGACAGCCAGACACCAAACAGTCACCATAACGTCTTTTTGGCAAATTTCCGGCTTTGTAATGGGGTTATTCAGGGAGTCGGCAAAAAAGGAAAACAACTCCGCGAAAACTCGGAGAGTGTTCCAATCTGGCTGAAACTTCGGGGAAAACTGGAGAAAACTATAAGAAACATTTTGCCAAAGTTTGGGGTCAGTTTGGTGTCTGAAAGTTTGGTGTCTGAAAAGTTTGGTGTCTGAAATTCCAGCCAAAATTTCAATGTCGATATATTGCTTCCAAATTTTGGCAATATGTTTCCTATAGTTTTCTCCAGTTTTCCCTAAAAAATGATCATTTTTCTGTCGTATGAGATGATCTCACAAACTAGAGTAACGTTGCAATTTCTCGCGATCATTCAGTTCATGAGAGAGCCATTTATATAGTTTTCTAGTCTTCTCTTTTTCTTATTTACGTCTCAATATTGTTCCGGTAGAGACCTCAAGCGCTGCCAAAAGTCCCCTGACGGTCGATCTCGGAAACCCATTCCACCATACTTCAGTATTCCTTCCACCACCTTTTTCTCTTCGAGGGATGCATCCCCACATGTAAATTTTGTGAACCATCGTTGTACTGTAATGTTTTTTGTTAGCACTTCTTTCTACACAAGCACGGTTGATATTTCCGGTTGTCTCGGTTGCATTTCGGCCGAGCATGGACTCGTATAAAAAATAAGCGAAAAAATACACCTTTTCCATGATTTCTCCTCGAATAACTGAGAGCATTATGACACATGTTAGATAGGGATTTTCGACGACTTGATTAGGTGTGTGAGAAACAAAAAATTTTACATTAGAACGAGCCATGACAGAGAAAACTGCCCTCGAAAAAAATCGACATTATTTATGGAACACCTCAATACCAATTAAGAACTCACAAGAAGGTGGCGCCAAGGTTGGTTGGAAGAAATTGAATTACGGTATTGGTGAGAGCGTTTGTATCCAAGTGGCCAAGACGCCAATCTGTCAAGAGAAGGACTCCACAAACTGGAGATGTCTCCATCTTGTTAACATCTCCTGTTTGTTCTTTTTGAGGTGTTAAAGGTCGACGGAGCATGGATTTATAAGCAATAGCTGCTAAAAATGCATAATGGGCGTCAACCTGGAAGGAATAACATAGCATTACAAACTCATTAACGGAATGCTGACCTCTTCTTTAGTACACTTCTCAACCAATCCAAATTCCATACGAATGCTTTGGTAGTATTGGTTTCGATCATTTTCTGGCAAACGCTTATACCAAAAACGTCCGATAAGGTTTCCTTCATATTGTCCATGCCCTAAAAATAACGAATTTGAATACCAAAGTACTCGAATCCGACCAACTTACAGCGACAAAACTTTAGAGTAAGCATTTGTTGTTTTCGATCACGTACAAAGGTTGATCGACGAGTTGGAACACAACCCTTCTTCCAGCCGTCTACGAAAGGAGGTTCGGTGTTGTGTACGAGGAGAAATCCTTCTCTAAGACTTAAATCCATGTAATCAGTGGTCGGCCCATTATCACCATCAGCCATGTAACGGTTGCTGGGTCTAGCGAAAATTCGCATTTTGTTCAGTGGGCTGTCGTAATCTGAAAAACACTGATTTGATTGTATTCGAACATTTCGTTCAACAGTATTACCTACGAATTTAACTTTGCTTTGCTTCTTCTTCTTATTCTCGAATCTTTCCATTTTCCAAGATGTTTTGTCTTCGTCTGTTGGTTCACTCATAAAATATTTGAGAACTCTTTTCTTGAAAGTGAGTGACACTTCCAAAACTTGGCCCAACACTGAAACCTCATTATCGGATTCTGGCTCTGAATCCTTGTTGAACATCGAACCAGACCAGGGATGTTCACTTGGGACGGACAAACTTGGTCTGCAAATGCTCTCGTCCCATTCTTGCTTCTCTTCCTCATCTGCATCAAGTAAAGATTTCTGGTATTTGACTTCCGCCTCTGTTGGAGTTTCTTTATCGGGAGATGGAAGGTACAAATCACTGAACTGATTTTCGAGTAGCTTCGCTTCCTCAAGGGACAATCTTCTTCGATCAGGACTTGTATCTCTTTGAGGATCACGGATTCGATCAATACTTAATCTCTTAATGATAAATCATGTATACTTTATGTTTGTTTTCATACACTACGCACCTGAATTTTTTCAGTCAAACTATGCGTTCCATCTTCGTCGTCTTGAATATTGAGATTTTTTAGGGCGAGATTAACTTCGGTTTGCATCTTCTTGAGCTCTTCTGCCTCTTTTCTGAAATGAATCAGGTTACAAACTCTAGTATTTTTTGGACAATACCGTTCTCTCTGTAGTGCTCTCTCTTGAACTACTTTCATATCAATGAAATTGTTTTTCAATGCTCTTTCTTTAACATCTTCAAATACATTCTCAGCAGATGATTTGGTGATTTTGACGTCAGATGGTATCTTCGTCAGCTTTCGGAGGGCTGAGATAGTCTCTTTGTGAAATTCCAGTAACCAATCATGAAGTTCGGTATCGTGATTTTTTTCTGGACCTGCTACAATTGATCGATGACATTTTACCAGAAAGTTCTTGAAGCTTTCGACAGCTGAATGAACACAAAGTTAGTGAATGACCATAATCAAAATGAATACTTTTGATTTTTCTCATTTTTTCGTTGAAAACTGAGTCATCGTCTTCTTTCTGAAAGTGCTGAATCACTCGATCAAAATTATCTCTGAATTTCTGTTTCTTTTCAACAAATACTGCATAGCTTTCCTCCTGCAAGTTGTGTTTCAGTGTACGAGCTTCTGGTTCTGAAAATGATTTTAAAGCAGTCTATCAAAATCAAGAGATCTCTCAACATACTCTGCTGCTTTCCGAACCATCTCTCTCCTTCTTGCTGTCGTTGCAGGATTCGTTTTTGTACAGCAGCTTCTCTCTCGGCAATTGATTTTTTCAATGCTTCTTGCCTTTCTAATTCCTCCTGTTCTGAGTCACCATCATCTTCCAGTTCAAATTCAAAATCAAAATCCATATCCTGAATATTTAAGTGTTCTATTTACAATATGAATTAAATAAAGTTTAAAAATTGGCGATTTATAGAAGAAATGACGAAAGAGAAATTCCGATGGTTATGGCCGAAGGTTTTCTGAATGTCGAAAATTTCGAGTTGCAGTACTTTCCGGAATATTCCGAGTTCCGAAACTTCGGAATTTCCCATCACAAAAACGCGAAAAATTGACAAACAGATTTCGACAACGCAAAAAAACACAGTATCAGTAATCTGCTCGAGACCCGCAAACGAATTTTTCGTCTTCGCCTTTGACATACCGTAGTCTAAAAGCTCTAATGGGGTGATTGTCGAATTAAAAAAAAGTCGGACCTGAAAATTTGAAAGGCGTAGCTTTTTTTGATCTACGAAACAGTGCGGCAAAAACGGAATATTTCAGATTTAATAATAATAATAATAATAATATATTTATTTGCAATGCATGGGGGAAATCAATAGATAATTTGGCAAGAAATGGGACATGTACAAATAAAAAAAGTAAAATGACCAGACGGACCGACTAGAGTCCTGTAGGTCAAGTGGGAGGGATCAGAATATCATAAGGAATCGCTCCTACTCGCTTAGCAAACGCCACCGGACTGAGCTTAGAATTTATCACCTTACATACACGGTTCCACATAGACAAGTTTCTGTGAAGGAAGCAGTCAAAGTATTGACCGTTGATTTTGAAAAAATACGGGGCTCTGTTAGAGTGGCTGGGAAGAATGTAGGACGATATAGAGGGAAAATGGTATGAGTTTATAACAATTTTGTGATAGGTACGAAGAACTAGAAGGGTGCGGCGATGAAGGGTGGTTAGCATAGACAACTGGGATAGGCGATCGGTGTATGAATTGAAGGGCATATCACATCTCTGGAAGACTTTTCTGGTGAAATAACGAAGAGGAGATTCTAGTTTATTGGCAAGTGTGGCATTGGATGGATCGAAAAGTTCACAACCGTATTCGAGGACCGGTCTAATGTAGGTGTCGAAGAGACGGAAATATAAACAAGGGTTTTTCGATTGGAACGTTTTCAGTATTTGGCGGGACTTGAGTTTAGCAGAGTAGGCAATAAGATTGATGTGTTTGTCGAATTGAAGTTGATCATCAACTAGTATACCTAGATCCTTGAATGAGCGATGCGGAGTGATGGGGGATCCCTTAATAAGGTAAACTGTCTTAGGATTGCGTTTACCATAATGCATAACGGCCGTCTTATTTTCGGCTAGTTTGAGTCTCCAGATGTCACACCAGTGCTCGACGATTTCGATACTTCTCTGCATATCCAATGGGTCGGAACCGGTTATTTTTAGGTCGTCGGCGAACGCCGTGACATGAACATTGGGAGGAAAGAGGCCGAGTAAGTCGTAAATCAGAAACAAAAAGGGGCCAGTGACACTTCCTTGGGGGACTCCGGATTTGACAACAATCTCGCTGGTTGTCATTAGGCCATTAACCTTGACGTTGGATGAGCGGTTGCTGAGAAAGGACTCGAACCAAACGCAGCATCGTTCATCAATACCTATACGCCTCATTTTCAGCAGCAAGAGATTGTGTGGGACAGTGTCGAATGCCTTGCGAAAATCAAAGTAAATAACATCTACGAATTGTTGCTTATTTGCTAAGGTTTTCTGTATTCTGGAAGTGGACTCAAGGACGGCTAGAACACAGGATCGCTTACTGACGAATCCGTACTGATTCGGAGAAATACTCGGACCGATAACACGTTTTAGCTCTTCAAGGACTAATCTTTCGAAGAGTCTGGAAAGTGCATGAGTGAGCGTTATGGGTCTGTAGTTATTAGCGTCATATTTGGATCCCTTCTTGAATATTGGACTAACAACCGAGTGCTTCCAGATCTCAGAAAATTTGGCGGAGGAGAAGGATTCTTGGAAGATGAGCGAAAGAGGGATGGTTATCGCATCACTGCACTTTTTGATTACAAGGAAGTTGATAAAATCCGGGGAGAAACCGACTTTTGAGGGTAGAGAACCGATGTGCTTTGCAATATTTAGAGGAGAGAAATCAGGACAGACGGCAAAGGGAGCGATAGCAGGGAGGGCGGAGAAAGGAGGGCTTGGGGGCGAGAAGGCCTCTTGGAAGACGGAAGAAAATTCGTTGGCTAGTTCAGAAGCGTCTGAGGTTTTTTCTCCTCGTTCGAGCTACTTTCGCAATTAAGTTCGATTTTTTTGATGAAAAACAGATTCTAGAGATGCTAGCGATCATTTTCATACCAAGAAATCTAAATTTTGTCCAGAAAATCTTACTAAATTCGCAGAAATAAGTTTCGTTTATGACCGTAGTGTTTCTGGGGCAAGGCCTCGAAAATTGACCGGGAAGCCGCCCGCGAAGTTTTCCAGGTTCCACTTTTTTTAATTCGACAATATTCACCAACATGTATTAGAAAAATTCGGAGAAATGAAGAAAATTTCGC